GGCGCGGGAGTCAGTGTGTTGGCATGCGCAACACGTGACCCAATCATCGAAGCCTGGTGGGCGATATAATGGTACTGAGCGATTCACTAGCTCCTCCTGCACTAAATACGCGACGCCGAACACGCTCATTGCTCACGCGGTGCTCCCGCCAGACATGAGCTAAGCTGCGAAAGCAGCGATGATCGAATGTGACGACCTGATGGGCCAGGTTTCACAACCATATAGGAGAGCTGAACGGACGGTTGCGTTATAAACTCTGCCCTTCAGAGCGAGAGTAATGTCGCGTCTGCGCCACAGGTGGTGGGGATTGGCAAAACCACCTCGAACTTTCGTTATACGCTTCGTAATCTCAGCTTTGATCCCACGGGCGCTAATATAGCTGCCTAGATACTTGAATTCCTGAACGACTTCTAGCTGATCACCACCAAGGGTCAGCGTAGGGGTAGGTCCCTGCCAATCTTGGAGAACTTTGCATTTCGATGGAGCAAAGCATAGCCCAAAACAGTTGGCATCCAGTGCTAATCGGTCCAGTGCAGTCTGGTACGTTTGGGCGCTTACATATGAGAGCAATGTCGTCCGTATACTCCCAGTCAAGAAGTCAATCCTCAGGAAGCAGCTCCACACTTTTCTAGGTGGTGTTCAGCGAACGCTGTTTCCATGACTTTATCAATAGTGAAATTGAAGAGGGGGACCTTGTATCACACCGCTGGAGGGCGAAGTTAAAGAGGAAAGGTAGCAGCGGGCAACCTTGTCTCACACGGTTGGAGGGCGGCGACAGCTTGCCATAAACCCTCACTATACCCGAACTATGCACGTGTAGCGCTTTGATAATGTCTACATATTTCTTGGGCACAACTTGTCTCAGCAAACAGTCCCAAAGGACACATCGATCCACCGAATGAAAGGCACCTTTGATGTCGAGAAATACGATAACGGTGGGTCACCAATAAATATGACGATGCTCCAACGATAGACGCAAAGTGAAGATTTGGTCAATGCAGCCTTGGTTTCGACGAAACCCGGCTTGCTCTTCGCGGATCTGGCCCACACGAGCGCCAGTCAGTCAGTGGAGAACGACAGAGGCAACTGAGATCAGACTAACTCCTCTATGGTTGCCGCATGCCAAACGCAAGCCTCCTATGAAAATTCGAACAATGTTGGAGCGGCTTCAGTCTGTCGGGACAAATTCCTGCTCTCAAAGTTGCATTAGCAACTGGTGTAAATCCTCTATAAGAGCAGGGCCCCCGAATTTGAAGAGGGCTTGATGAAGATCATCTGGTCGCACGGCTTTGTTCTACCACAACAGTCTGAGTTCACGTTCGACTACTGCGCGTAAGGGCGCTTCTAAGCAGACGACCCATGGAGTAGAGCACTCAATTCCCGAAAGACGAAGCAATAACTCAGATTGGTTAAACTGCTTTTCCAGGTGTTCGGCTCAACGCTCCAAGCGTTTTGACAAGCTGTAAATCGGCTGTCCACTCTCGTCGCGTATTGTCTCGCTAACACCTAGTTCCCGTTTCAGACGGAATAATTTGCGATGATTGTCAAAGGCAGCGGCTGTTTCCATTTCTGATGCAAGATGAGAACCCCAGGCTTCGCGGTCTCTCTTCAGGCTAGCACCCAGTTTTGCCCTGAGATTTTTGCGATTCGCATCGTTTTCGCTTCCAGCCGGAATACGCCGGAGAGCATTCATAAATTCCAGAGACTCTGTAGAGACCCAATGCCTAGGTTGGCAATTTGATTTGCCACATGAAGACATGACTGCTGATAGTAACGTTTGATGAATATGTGACTAGTGAGCTTCAACTGTGTTCAGTGGACGTTTACTCAGCTCAGATGCCAGCGTATGCGACCAAAACACCTGGTTTCGCCAGCTGGCTGGTGACGGTGCGCTCAGAGCGATGTTGCGGACGCCGCCGAAACACACATAGGAGAGTGTGATTGGAGTTCACGCTGGCGCACCAAATCGAGTGACAGTTTTGGACACAGCCTCTCCAGCGGTAACTAATCGCGATGTGATCGACTTACGTCTAGGGCTGGCCCGAGGCTGGTGGGCGCCAAGTCACGCTTCTGTGGGTGCTGTCAAAAGTTAGTGTTCGCGAGAAAGAGACGAGCATCACACAGATGTAGCAACCACTTACCGTTATCATTACGGGAGTCTACACCATATTCGCCGCGCAGATAACGCTCAGCAGAGGACAATTTCCCGACTTGGGCATTTAGATCACCAGCAAGCAACACAGTATCCGAGCTTCTTCTGTAACGAAGAGCGCTAAGTTGGTGATAGAAATCGTGTTTCACCGGATCAGGGCTGCAGTTTGTGGAGGCGTAAGCAGCAATGACAAACAGGCACTGTTTGTCCCTGCGTGACCTTGAAGCCTGGAACGAGCCAGCTAAACTAATGAAGCACATCCGACTGTTGACTGGGATCTAATCGATCAGGGCAGCTTCAGCCCGGGGATACAAAACAATGCTGACAGCAGCTTGACCGGCGTTTGAAGCTGCGTCATCACCAGACGGTCGCAGTGAGAATGTGCCGCCAGTGTCGCATATGAGGGATCGCACAGTAAGCACGGTGCTGGAATATTGCAGGCCGGTTTCCGACAAACAGCAAATATCGATCGAGATGGTCTCGAGTGTTCCGGCAAATGCTGCCTGTTGGCCAACCTGTAGCAAAGTGAGCACGTTGAGGCATGCCAGTCATAGCGATGATCGTAGACACCAAAGGGAAACGAATGGAATGACGTGGTCCGCTTGGTTGAACATGGACTTGTCGACTGGATTGGAGCGAGACCCTGCGCTTATGAGTCAAAAGTACAAGAGAAGCGAATATTAAAGCAATGTGGGGGGATGCCAAGAATTGGGGGATTGAAAGCGGGAGGATGAAATTTAAGTTGGAACGGGACGCTAAGGATGAAAAAGCGTAAGAGAGGGAATAAGAAGGTGGGAAGGCGAGCAGTAGCATCCAAACCGCTATCCACTCTGCTCGATGCAGCAGATAGGGTGCCATTTATTATCCTCTGAGACGGCCAGAGCATAAAGCGATTGCTAGTAGTAAAGGTCATGGTGTATTGCGTGGGTAGAATACTGTCAAGTTGCCCGGGCCTGCACTAGTTGAATGTAATATGATAAAGTCCTAACAAAGGCTTAGATATGAATTGGTCCACTAGCTTTCCGGTAATGAACTGAGCTAAGTGGGTACAAATTAGTCACGGATTGTTTCACGAAGTTATGAGAAGTTACTTTTACGCTTTCTTAGCTGCGAAGTGAAAGTTTGAATGTCGAAGTGCCAGGGACTATGGCTTGCTTACGGACACAAGAAACTGGGCATGCTTCGTCCCTAAACACAGTCGTCATCATCATCATCAACAGCAGTACATCGTCCATTTGAACTGATGCTTCGCTGCCATACAACCATGAGGACCTTTGAAATAAAGAATAAGAAAAGGGAGAGAAGGGGGACTTACCTGAAAACATTAATGCCCTAAGCAAACATTCAGGGTCAAGGCGCCTACACCTTGTGTAGACAACATACCGTCACAAACAGCTGGCTATCGTGCAAAGATAAGGCGGCATCGGCGAGACAGCTTCCTTGCGGCTTTCACTGCCACGCGTCATAATCAGCCATTACCCTGCAGATAACTCAGCACCAAACATACTTTAAACAGGCAGTCCGATTAGGAGACGGCAGCAGACGCGCCACTGGTGTCCATTGCGACCCATGTCCTGTAAAGTCTCGAGCCAAGCACAAGGCGAGTCACGTGGACTCCAACCCGGAAGACGAGACGGACCAACGGCACCCAGTTTGCTCGTCAGTGACTTCATTTCCCGCTGCCAAGTCAACTTCTGTCCACCTCGAGCCTTGCGCCATCCGACACCTGGTAGACTGAACAAGGCCCTCCTAGGTAAGCGGTTACCAGGCATGCGTAGCATGTGCCCGAGCCAACGCAACTTATTCAGTGCTATCTGTTGTTCTAGGGAGCTAGCATGATCATCACCACCTAGTACTCGCCTACGCACATCATCGTTGCGGACACGCTGGTGCCATCCGACACCAGCAATGCTTCGCAAACAACGATGATCAAAGACTTGAAGGCGCCGAGTTTCACTACCATAGAGCAGAACGGCCCTCACTGTGGTCTTGCATACCCGGCCTTTCAGACGGAGGGAAACTCCCTTCTGTCGCCAAAGATGACGCAGGTTCAAGAAGGCAGCTCTAGCCTTTGCAATGCGTGAGCTCACGTCAGTTTCTATGCGCCCATCATTGCTGATGCAGCTGCCAAGATAGGTGAAATGATCAACCACCTCGAGCTCCTCGTTAGCAAGCGTCAAGGGGTCATAAAGTGGCTGGTGGTCCTGCAGCAACACTTTGCACTTTGAAGGTGCGAAGTGAATACCAAATAATGGGACCACTCTGGATAAGCTATTCAGGGTTGATTGTGCCGCCTCAACATTGTCGAAAAGCAAGACGATATCGTCCGCATAATCTAGATCAACTAACCGTTCACCAGGCAGCACTTCAACACCTACATCGTGAGATTCCGCAAGGGAACACTCCATGATAGAATACACGACGAAATTGAACAAAAACGGGGAAATCGAGCAATCCTGTCGAACGCCACTTGTAGTCGAAAAGCTATCTGATAGGGCACCATAGACCCTGACGCGGCCTCTAGTGTTCAAGTATTGAGCACGAAGGACCTAAACACCGACCTGACTTTAAAAACCGGTTCAAGCGCCTGTCGGCTTTCTTACAGACGCTGTTACACACTGTCCACCAAGTACAAAGGATTTATCATAGTACGTATGTGCATGCGTACCGTCAGCTCGCATCAATCCCGAAGCTCACTACGAACTTCAGCTCCTTTTGACCTATGCAAGCACAACTTCGGATGTTCAGAAGTTAAACATTTTGTCGCTAATGAGGCGAGAAATACAAGATCAACTTATTCTATTACACTAACTGAAGACACAAATACACGTACAAAAGCTTAACTGACCTTCCATCACTGTCAGAATCACGAGGAGTATACATGCGGGGATTAAATCTTTTATGACGTCCTTCATGGTCAAGATGGGGAAGGTCACGTTCAAGGACGAATGTTGTTCACACTGATGGGCAGCGTACCACCAGTCAGTAGCGCAAAAATTCAAGTTCATGTGCGACCAAAACCACACCACTTGATTGCATAATGGCGTATTGATTTTGGTTTTATTATGCTATACGGTTCGCTGCCGTGTATAGTAGTGAATTGCACCGCCTACCTACGGTGCTGCAGCGAGGTCACGGCGTGCTTGTCGGTTTTCACCGTTCGCGATTTTCTTCACCAAAATCCTGTTTTGAGAACAGTAGTTGAATAATGCTGCGCAGAGGATTGGGCTTCTGTCACTTTTCGTATGATCCGAAAGGATTTGGAAGTGCCAAATTACCAGACTCTTTGGTAACGGCCTGACTGTCGTGTTTCATCTTTCAAGCTTTTCCTCGACAAATACCTTGGTTGGAAACTATTTGAATAAGACTGCACAAAAACGTTGACTCCTGACAATTCTCTGTGCTACAAAAGGACTCCGAATTCCCAACATGCTTTCAATATCTTGTGGGTGTCTTCATAGTCACGACGCAGTCTCCGTGGATTCTCCGTACGACTTACCGCTTGCTCCTCCCTGCATACGCTGAATACTCCTTCATCTGCAAGAAAACACTTGTGTGGACTGTCCTGCTTGAAAAAGTGCATTGTATCGGGCGCCCCCGGTGAGTTCAAAGCGGTGCGTACGTTCCTCTTGCAGTATTACCCGACTTTGCTCCCGCTGTCTGCATTGTAGGCCTTCGCAAGCCGGTCCTCACCTTTTCGTTGTTCTTACCTATTCTTCATTGCTGTCAGGTTAATTAGAATAGTTGTGGGTGTGCCTTGGGGTCTTAAAATATCTGATAAAGTTTACCTAAGCGGCTTAGAGTGATGCTCCATACCTGTAACCGGCTTGTCGGATGGTATGCAATTCGATATTTGCGGTTGATTGTTCCATGAGGCATGCACCTGTTCGGTTGCTGCTCAGTATGTGCACTTGGCAAGCAGTGAGAGGTTTCTTTATAGCTGTGAAGATTGGTTAAAGCTTGAAGCTTCGCGCTTTGTATCCACGAAGGATTGCTTCAATTCGCTCGTTTCCAGACTGACAACTATGGCAGGAGTGCTGTCTTTGCGGTTTACTACTTTGGATGGGAAAGTTGAAGGTTTAGTAGATCGCCTGACACCATCCGTTGTTCTCGGTCAGGTGAAATTAGCGGATAGTAGCACGCAAACCGATTCTGTCGACCTAACTCCCTATCCAGCAACTGATTGTGAGCTAGTTGCTTCTAAACAGTTGGAAAGGGTAGGTTATTCCGCAGCTAGTGACGAACTATTGCAGAACTTGCCAGCGAAGCTTAAGCGAGGCAAGAAGAAGAAGAAAGCTGTAAACTTGCAACTTGCGGTAGTCTCGGAGGGTACAGTGGACCAGGTAAGCACGTCACTTACAGTGCCTTCAGTATTGAGTCCTTGGGCGTCTCCTCCCAAAGCCTCTTCCTACGCAGCTGGTGCATCCAAGCAACCAGCCACCCCGTTGCAGTATTCCGTGACTGTGGCGCGTAAGGTAGGTACCGCAAGCCGCAGTGGCGCTTACACTGATAGCAGTGTCATCTTTAGGAAAGTCACGGAGTCCACCCTATCCCTTCCAAAGGAGCGAATGCTTGAAGACCTACAATGGTTTAAGCTTTGGGTTTCCAAACTGCTACCGCCCGGTTTTCCTGGCGTAACGGTACGGAAACTCATTAGGCTTGCGTCTGTGCCGGTCGATGTTTCGGGCGTTAAACCTCCTTTACTGAGAATCGTGCTTTCAACACCGGACGAGCGTACTACGCTTTTGCGTTTCGTTTTTAAACTCAAGGGTTCTGGGTTCAATATTCAACCTGAACTCCCATTGACTGATAGGTTGAAATTGAAGGCCGCAATAAAGGACCTCAAAGCCCGTCGCGAGGCGGGTGAAACGGGTTTTCGATTGGTGGGTTTTCGGGTGGTGAGCAGGAGGTCTACTTCCGTCCTTTCAGACCCCGTTCTGGTGGAACCCGATACCTGGCTCACGAGCCTAATTTTTTAAACTAGTCCTCAGCAACCTGCATAGTCTGCGGAACAAGATATTTAAGTAAATAAATAAATAGTATATTCTCGAATTTCCGAGACACACCAGACTAGGCATCAACGTTTACAAGCAATTTATGTTTCGCAACAAACACGTTGCTATGTATGTAATCGGCAGAAGCTGAAAGTTGTCCAAGCTTTGGAAATTGTAAAATTAATCTTGAGGTATTAATTCGTAAAAACATGACGACAAGTTGGGTTCTAGTGGGCGTAGTGTAAACAGACTTGGCATTCCGGTTGTAGAGAAAACTTGTCAGGAAAATATTACATTAGGATTCTGGTCGGCTTGCCAGCATGTAGTTGTGGGCAGTGACTTTATTCAGTGGCGAGTCACATCCGCCACGTCGTAGTGTTGTTAAGCGGACATTTGTGGCTTTTTATGGGGAGAACGCATGCCAGGCGAAAAAACACCACCTCCTGAAACACTGTCAGAAAACCGTTTGTACACTAATGTAAAACTGGCAGAGCAACTCGTTGACTGATTTAACCCTCGGTTAACCGCCGTCAATTGTCTTCTAATTTCCTCTGTTAGCTGAACAGGTTATTTTTGCTCGGGGTGGCCATAATGGCTGAGGCCTATGGAGGGTTAGACCTTCGTCATCTTCGTGTCCAGGTGAGCAAAACTTCCGATTCTTGCTTCTAGAATTTACAGGATTATGTATACTTCGCAGGAGTATGAAGGCGTCGTGGCCAGCTACCATTACTGGACGACGGTCATGGTAGTGAGTGCATTTTTATCCACTTGTTGTACAGCCGTGTTCTATGTAGGTCCTTGGGGGTTTCTTTGTCCTGTCCCAGGCACAAGCTCTTACACGTTCCGATCCCAGATCCCCAAGAAGTTCCAGACCTCGGAGGCGTGCAGGATGCTCAGTAGGCGATCCAGGTGTTGGCGGACTTACGTAACTGCTCCCTCAGAAAGTACCCATCATCGTTACCGTGGCGTGCGAAAAGCATGTAAACAGCAACTGCGGGCCGCACGTTTACGATCTGAACTAGCGCTGGCTCCATCCGCATCAACACACTCGAAAGAGAATTTTGGCTACTTCAAACAGAGATACAATGCAAATTCGCCTATCCTTGTGCTGTTAGGACCTGACGGCACTTAAGTATCGACTGATCAGGCCGAGGCCTGCTTACTTGTGGAACAGTATGCTAGGTCGTTTGTTTATGAATCTCCATTGCCTAATTTCGAATTGCAGGCACAGATACCAGTAGATTCCTTTCTGATGGACCTTTCCATCTCAGAAGCTTAGATACGCAAGCTCCCGCGTGACCTGAATCCCACTAAAGCGGACGGGATACACGCCCTTCATCTCAAACTTTTGTACGAGCTGGCTGGGTTGCTGTGTAAATCGATTAAATGTATCTTTGAGAAGTCTCTTCGTAGCTGCTCCATACCTGCTGACTGGAGAGATGCTATCGTGTGCCCTATTTTCAACAAGGGTGATAAGCACTTACCTTAACCTTATAGAACGGTTAGCCTAACAAGTGTACTAGTGAAAGTATTAGAGAAGCTGGTAAGTGCTGCTCTGGAGAAACACTTGTCTAAGTTCAGTATGCTCAACCCGTCTAAACATATGTTGCGCAGAGGCCATTCCTGTTTGACTAACATGTTGGTAGCCCGAGAGTGTTGGGCTGAGGCTGTGGATCAAGGACAGGCGGTGGATGTTTTGTTAACCGCCTTTTCTAGAGCCTCTGACTCAGTACCGCATGCCGTCTTTTGTTTAAACTTGAATCCTACGGCGTCTCACGCCAGGTATTGAAGTGGAGTTCGGCTTTCCTGGAAGGAAGCCAGAGGAGCGTTCGAGTGGGTTCCTGGCTGTCTTTCAGACAAGCCGTCCTGAGTGGTGTTCCTCAGGGGTAGGTTCTCGGACCTCTACTGTTTGCATTGCACGTTAATGATCTCCCTGAGATGCTTAAGGTACCATCCCTTAGGTTTGCGGATGACTTAAAATTTTGGAATATTGTGAGCGATTCTGTTGGACCCACGGCTCTGCAGACAGCTCTCGACAAGCTTTGGGAGTGGTCAGAATTGCGGCAGTTGCCAGTCAATCTTGCAAAGTGTTCGCTCCTGCGCATAAGATCAAGCACTTCCACAACTGTTTACGTACTTGGCGGAAACGTAATGCTTCAAGTGACTGAACAAACGGACTTGGGTATCTCGCTATCCTCTGACTACAAATCAAGCGAAAACTGGACAAATGCTACCCGCAAATTTTCCGAATGCTGTGGATGTTCCGCAGGTCGTTCGGCATTATGACAAATGAAATGTTTGTTACATTGTTCTCAGCCTTTGTCAGGCCATACTTGGAGTACTGCGTGTAGGCCGGTCCTTCATGCATGGTACGCGACAAAATGACACTTGAACGAGTTCTGAGGGCTGGTACAAAAATGGTACAAGGATTGAGGCATCGCTCGGATCCTGATAGGCTGTTCAGGTTGCAGATGTTTTCGCCGCACAATAGGCGCCTTCGGGGTGACTTGATTCTTACGTACCATATATTGACCAGCAAGATTGGGCCTGTTCTAACTGGACTGTTCCATCCGGCTCGGATACTATCTCTTCGTGGTCACCCTCTGAAGCTGCATAAGCCCAGACCTGCTCACGTTAGAGCTGACTCGAGTTTATCACGCAGGGTCAGCGACTCTTGAAAAGCACTACCCGGCAAAGTAGTATTAGCACCAACGGTGACGGAATTTGAACATCGACTCGACGCACGTGGGTTGCCGTTTCAGACCTTTCCTTTGGATTCTTAACTTCTACATCCATTTACCTGGCTTTTCACATCTAGTACTATTAATGTATTATCCACACATTCTCTCCTGCACTACAGTTATCATTACTTTGTTTTGTTGATTCCCTTTTCTTAACCTTTATTCTATACACGTGGCCGGTACAGCGGGGATGGCTAGAGCAGGCCACGTGATCATTGA